GTGTGCAGACCTCATAGGGGAAGAGACCCAGAGGGGGTGGACACCCAGTGGGGGTGCAGACCATGTGAGCCTTGCTGAAAATGCAACAATCTGAAGCCTTTGAGGAGAGCAGAGATATGATAGAACTTTCCTTTTAATAGGATCCCTGTGGCTGCTCTGCTCAGGACTGGCCTGAATGGGTCCATGACAGCACAACAGAGATGGGGAAGGGAAATGATGCCTATTGAAGACAGGAAGTGATGTTGGCTCGAAGCAAAAAGAGTGGGCATTTATTTTGGACACATTATGAGGATAAAACAAACAGGATTTTGTTTCTGAGGTAATGGGTGTGGTGTGTGGGGGAAAAAGAGAGAGCCAAGAAGGGTCTGGAGAGTGAGGGTTGTTCTCTGTGTTTCTCTGCATTGCTCCTGGAGAGGGCATCTCCAACTTCCCTCCTGTATCAGCTTCTGTTGTCACAAAGGACACACTCTCAGTGTCTTAAAACAAAGGAAACGTAATCAATCCCTCACAAGGAGGCCAGAAAGCTGTGTAAGGAATGAAGCACATTTCTTCCCTCTGCCCTGCTAAGTTCTCCCCTGGGACCTGTAACACAGGACAGGTGAAGGACAGGAAAGCATGAACGTGTATTTAATATGAGATTTATGTGGCACAGGAGCCCTCGTAAGGAAATGAAGACCCAAATAAATGGTTAAATCTCAGTGGTTTTTTTTTTTTAATTTTTTTTTTTCAACGTTTATTTATTTTTGGGACAGAGAGAGACAGAGCATGAAGGGGGGAGGGGCAGAGAGAGAGGGAGTCACAGAGTCGGAAGCAGGCTCCAGGCTCCGAGCCATCAGCCCAGAGCCTGACGCGGGGCTCGAACTCACGGACCGCGAGATAGTGACCTGGCTGAAGTCGGACGCTTAACCGACTGCGCCACCCAGGCGCCCCATCAGTATATATTTTAAGTTGGAAACTATACAGTGTTATTTTACATCTGTACGTGTTTTAATTTACATAAATGATATTGTGCTGTGGATTGTCCCCGTTTGTGATTTACTTATTTATCGATCTATTTGCTCAACGCTATTTCTCGGATCTCCCCACTTTGCTTTCTGCTCTTGTAGTTCATGGCTACTGCATGGTGCAGAGATTTGCACAGAGGGCATCTGCCCCATGGGCACTTAGGTTGATTCCGACTCCCTGTTCTTACAAACAGTGCTGCTACAATCATCCACACATATGTTCCTGCCTGTAGTGTTTCTCTGGATGTAGACCCAGAAACGAAATTGTTGGGTTATAGGGTATAAACGTACCTCGTTTCATAAAGGATGTCAGAGTGCTTTCCAGAAAGACATTAGTGCCAGTTTCTGGTCCCCAGCTGTTTCCTCTTATTCTTCCAGTGCTTGATATTATCCTTTTAATATTTGCCAATCTAATTGATCTAAAGTGCCCTCTCCCTGCTGATTTAAGTTGCATTTCTGTGATCCCTGGTGAGGTGAAGCATCTCTTCATATACTTGTGAGTCATTCAGACTTCTTCTTCTGTGAATTGACTATTCCTGTCCTTTGCCCATTTATCAATTGGGTTTCCTCTCTTTTCTTGCTGGTCTCCAGGTGTTCTTTGTGTGTTCTAGTTAGGAACCCTCTCTGGGATGAGAATCTCCTCTGAGTCTTTTAGCCTTCTGTTCCCTCTATCTTGGTGTCCTTTGTTGAATAAAGTGATCATCCGTTTCTAATCCCACTTGACCCCTTAACAAACCCATCTGATGAAGCCAGGAAAGAGACTATTATCTCATTTAAAATTTTTTCTTTAACGTTTATTTATTTTTGAGACAGAGAGAGACAGAGCATGAACGGGGGAGGGTCACAGAGAGAGGGAGACACAGAATCTGAAACAGGCTCCAGGCTCTGAGCGGTCAGCACAGAGCCTGACGCGGGGCTCGAACTCACGGACCGTGAGATCGTGACCTGAGCCGAAGTCGGACGCTCAACCAGCTGAGCCACCCAGGCGCCCCCTAGTATCTCATTTTATAGAGAAAGATTCAGAGGCTGCGGAGAGGTCAACAGCCTTCACAAGGCCACAGATCTGGACCTCTAGGTTCCAGACTGGAATCCCAGCTCCTGTATAGCTGGATGATGGCAGGCGGGTTTTGTTTCTCTGAGCATCATTCTCTCCTGTGTATATCAGGGATGCTGATATCCTACTTTTAGGCTGCTGGGACCTCTGTTAAATGCCCAGCCCTGAGCTTATGCCAGCAATGTCTGTATCATCACCCCTCTTTTTCTCTCCTGCTCCCACAGAAGCAAACTGCACCTATTTTAAATTCTTTACCACGGGGGAAAATGCACACATCTTCCAGAGAACTACAAAGAAAGGTGAGAACCACCCTGTGGTGGGGTGGTGGGGTGGCGGGAGGGGTACGCGGACCATGCCGGAAGAGTTCCTGATAGCATGGTCTTCCTCTCTGCTTTGCCCTGGGGTGGCAGGAGGGGATAGGGGAGGTCCCATCTTTGGGGGAAAGAGGTTCTCCAGAGCCCTGTGCCTGATGCTCCTACCCCAGCTCCACCTTTGTCATGAGCTGTGTGACTTTGGGGCAGCCACAGCCCCTTTCTGGGACTTTCTTAAAGATGTCCACCTGCCACATGCTAAGCAGAGTGCTGAGTGTTTCATTGATAAGAACTCCAGTCCTTGCCATGACGCTGCAGGGCGGTGGCTTCATCTTGTGGATGAAAAAACAGTAGTCTAGAAAATGGTTACATTTACTTTTTCCAGAAGGGGCAGAGGCAGAATCATCCCAAATAATCCTGACTCCAAAGCAATGCTCTCCTGTAGAATCTTCCGTGAGATGGAAATACTCTGTACCTGTGCTGACCGATGTGGTAGCCACTAGCCCCATGTGGCTGCTGGGCGCATGTGGCTGGTGTGATGCAGAGACTAAGTTTTTAAAATTTCGTTTCAATTTGGGGCACCTGGGGGGCTCAGTCGGTTGAGCGTCCAACTCTTGATTTTGGCTCAGGTCACGATCCCAGGGTTGTAGGATTGAGCCCTGCATCAGGCTCTGCGCTGACAGCTCGGAGCCTGGAGTCTGCTTCGGATTCTGTGTCTCCCTCTCTTTCTGCCCTGCCCCCACTCGTGCTCTGTCTCTCCCTCTCTCTCCCTCAAAAACAAGTAAGCATTAAAAGAAAAAAAGGCTATACCCTTTCTTGGGAGCCTGGGTGGCTCAGTCGTTTAAGCGTCTGACTCGTGGTTTTGTCTCAGGTCATGATCTCACAGTTCACGAGTTCGAGCCCTGCAGCAGGTTCTCTGCTGTCAGCACAGGTTTTACCTTTTCTGCTATAACCACAGCCTCTCCGTCACCCCAGTACCTCAGTGTCCATCCACACCAGTAAAGAGATTGTGGTCATGTCATGACTCCTATCCAGCCTCTGTAAGGGTTTAATGAGATGATACAGCTGAAACGTACAGTGTGATACCTGGCACATAGTAGGCCCTCAGTCAACAGTGGTTCCCACCCTCCCTGCTCCTTTCTGTCTTGTCTTTGTGCTAAGTGAGTTTGGGCAAGCCACTGTGCTTCTCTGGGATAGTGAATAATCACAGTGCACGTGTATAGCACAGCTCCTGTGTGCTAAGCACTTCACTGGGTACTTTTTATAAACTAATTCTAATCCGCACAACAGCCCAGTCAAATAGGGATTTTGACCCTGATTTTCTAGAGGAGGAAACTGGGGTTCAGAGAAGTTTGGTGACATTATTATAACCTTCCAGCAAGGCAGTGGCTGTACAGAACTCAGACTTGGATCATTTCACTGTAACAAACTACCTTCTCTGTTGTCACCCACATGCTCACTGCCTCAGTTTCCTCACCTGTAAACAAACAGTGACCAGATCCCAAGGAATAATTGGTAGTTCCCATTTCTTTCTAATCCTGACCCTGTCTCCTCTTTGCTTTGTGGCCTCAGGCAAATCACTGAGCCTCTCTGTGTCTTAGTTCCTTCAACAGTGTAAGTAAAATATTGGACTGAATGATGTACTTGAAAATTCTCTAGTTCTGAATCTTCCGTCTTCCTGGTTTTGGGTCTCTATAGGGGAGTCCTTCCCACTTCCTCCCTCCCATGTTCTCTACTTCTTCCCTTTACTCTCCTTGCAGAGCTGAATCTGGCAGCTGCCGTGATAGCAGTGGTAGGCTTGGCACTCATGGCCCTGGGGTGCCTCTGTATCATCATGGTGCTCAGCAAAGGTGCAGAGTTCCTACTCCGAGTCGGAGCCATCTGCTTTGGCCTCTCAGGTGAGGGCTGGGAGCCCGGAGACTGAGGGAATTGCATGCTGGGAGGTTGGATCTCCAAGAGCTCTTGCATGCTAGGAGGTAGGGTGTCCAAGCACTGTTGCATGGTGGAGTTTGGAACTCTAGGTAATGTTGTATGCAGGGAGGTAGAGTGTCCAAGCACTGTTGCATGCTGGGAGTTTGAATCTCCAGGGCACTGTTGCATGCTGAGAGTTGAGGGAAACCCACCGGCTGTAGTAGTCTCAAAAATGGAAGAATTCTGGGGCGCCTGGGTGGCTCAGTCGGTTAAGCGTCCGACTTCAGCTCAGGTCACGATCTCGTGGTCTGTGAGTTCGAGCCCCGCATCAGGCTCTGGGCTGATGGCTCAGAGCCTGGAGCCTGCTTCCGATTCTGTGTCTCCCTCTCTCTCTGCCCCTCCCCCATTCATGCTCTGTCTCTCTCTGTCTCAAAAATAAATAAATGTTAAAAAAATTTTTTTAAAAATGGAAGAATTCCAAGCTTTATTGTTGCCTAGACATTAAAGGGTCTCCAAACACTATTTTAAATTTGGACCAAGGGTTTCCGAGAATTGTTGCCTGCTTGGAGGTAGAGTCCACAAACACAGTTGTACCATGGGGATTGGAGGAAGCTTAAGGGTTATAGAGGTCTCAAAGAATGGAAAATTCTAAGCCCTGCTGTCCCCAGAGGGGTCTCCAATTTGAACCCAGAGGTCTTCAATTGCTGTTGCATGCTGGGAAGTTGGAGGCCATCTCCAGGCACTGTTGCTTGCTGGGAGGTTAGAGGACATCTCCAAGCACTGATGCATGCTGGGAAGTTGGAGGACAACTCTAAGCACTGTTGCATGCTGGGAAGCACCAGGACTGTAGTAGGCTCAATGTGAGAGTTCTAAGTGCTATTATTGGCTGGGAATTGGAAAGTCTTCAAATACTTTTTTAGCTATGGAACTTAGGTCTTCAATGAATGTTGCATTCTTGGAGCTGATGGTCAAAAAAAAAATTCTACATCTTGTCAATGTAGTGCTCATTGGATCAGATGTTTGCTAAGGTAGATAGAAAGGTCACTAATTATATAAGCTTCATTTGTTCATCCTCTGTGAATTTACTGAGCACTTACTATGTTCCATGCACTGCGCTAAGGGCTGGGTATATATGACTAACAAGACAGATACAGTCTGCCCCTCACAGAGCCTAGCAGAGATAGACAGTAACCAGTAATTACACATATAATAATGCAACTATAATTGTGATGAAAGTTATGATAAAGCGTATCATTAGGGGTAGACACTGCAGTGAGGGTGTATCAGAGGAACTCAGAGAAAGTGGTATTTAAGCTGGTAATTGAAGGGTGAATAGGACTCATCCAAAGTGTGGTGGTGACAGTAGTGGTGACTATATTGATGATGTTGTCTATTGTGGTGGTGGTGGTGACAATGATGGTGGTGATGGTAGGGATGATGTTGGTGATGGTGGTGATGGTGGTGATGAGGATGATAGTTAAAATGGTGGTAACGGTAGAGATGATGGTGTACTGATGGTGGTGATGGTGATAGAATAGCGATTTGACAAGTTTGAGGAACAGAATGAAGGTCAGAGCATAAAGCAGGCAAAATCTTTCACAAATGTACATGGTAACCTTAACTAACAAGTGGGGTAGACTCTAGTACAAGATAAGGGAGAAATGATAAGTCTTCACGAACATGAACATATGAATGGAAAATAATAATGATCAATTTTTATTATTTTGTTCCCTTAGAGATCTTCCTAAATAAAGGGGAAAATTCAATCATCTCCTTTCCTTTCTTTCATTTATTCATTTTATTCATTGATACACACACAGACATATTACACACTTTTGTACGTTTTTGTATATGTAATATTATCAGAATGTACAGGACAGAAAGGTGCCTTCCCTTAGGGAGATTACTGGTTAAGGACACCGAAATAACACAAATCATCCCACAATTACAAACTTCTAGGTGCTATAAAAGAAAAAGAAAAGTAGATTTCTATGAGAGTGCATAATGAGAGCACCTGATTTAAAGCAGAGAATTAGTGAGGGCCTCCCTGAGTAACCAAGCTAGACAGAGTTTGGTGAATTTAAGGTCTTGAAAGAAAGCCAGTGTGGCTGGAGCATGGAGAGTGAGGAGAACACTGGGGTCAAAGATGGACCAGGAAATCAACAGGGAATCCAAACATCTAGGTTGGCGTCTAACTTCTGACAAGTTGTGTGATCTTGGGCAAATCTTTTATCTCTGAGCTCAAGTTCCCACATATCCATGAAGTCAGTCACCCAAGTATCCATTTGTCAAGTATCCATCTATCCATCCATTCATCCCATCTATCCCCGTCTGTCCGTCCATCCATCCTTTCATTCCATCTATCCATCTGTCCGTCCATCTATCCATCCGTCCGTCCATCCATCCATCCATCCATCCATTGATTCATTAATTTCCTCCCACTCCCTTCTTCCTTTTCCATTATCCTTTCTCTTTTATCTGTTTTCTGTCTATTCATCCATCCGTCTGTCCATCCATCCATTCATCCCATCTATCTATCCATCCGTCCATCCATCCATCCATCCATCCGTCCATTGATTCATTAATTTCCTCCCACTTCCTTCTTCCTTTTCCATTCTTCTTTCTCTTTTATCTGTTTTCCGTCTATCCATCTGTCCGTCCGTCCATCCATCCATTCATCCCATTTATCCATCCATCCATCCATCCATCCATCCATCCATTGATTCATTAAATTCCTCCCACTTCCTTCTTCCTTTTCCATTCTCCTTTCTCTTTTATCTGTTTTCTGTCTATCCATCTGTCTGTCCATCCATCCATCCATTCATCCCATTTATCCATCCGTCTGTCCATCCATCCATCCATCCATTGATTCATTAATTTCCTCCCATTCCCTTCTTCCTTTTCCATTCTCCTTTTTTTTTTTTTACCTGTTTTCCCTCTATTCATCCATCCAATCATTCAACAAGTATTTTTTTTTTATATCCAGTAGGTGCTCAATGCTGTGCTTGATACCACTGGGGATAGAATGATGAATAATATTAAGATGATCCCTGTTTTTGTAGAATTTATAGCATGGTAGGAATTTGGTTATTGAACTCATACTCGTGTTATTCCAGGGGGTGCCATGAAAGTGAGGATATAAAAGTGTTTTATGGAAGTCTCAGGCATGAAATTTTTCTGCAAACTGTACAAGCAAGTGAGAGCAAGGGGGTGGATTTGATGCTGTAAGTATTTTGGCTATATTTGGTATCAGGCCCTGGACAGATTGAATTTTCAAGATCTCCTTAAATAAAGGGACATGTTCAGATTATATTGTTTCTCTCCATGAAATATATACATCAGGTATTGTTCATGTTTTAGAGATACAAGACAGACAAGTTTCCTGCTCTCATGGATTTATGATAGCGAGGGAGATAGCCATGGGACAAATAGACAATACTAATATAAATTAATATATGCTAATAATTACCAGCTGTGATAAATGCTACAAATGAAAATGAAAGAGTGTGGAGGAAAATCTGTAACAGGGAGATCTGATATAGACTTGAGTGGCAGTGCTTAAGGAGGGCTTCTCAGAAGTGCAATAGCAGTGATAGTAATAGTAATAGCAATAGCAATAGCAATAGGAATAGTAGTAAATAGCAATAATAATGGTAATAAAGAGTAACAGTAATAGTAATAAATAGTAATAGTAATAAATAGCAATAGCAATAGTAATAAATAGTAATAGTGATAGTAATAAATAGTAATGGTAATAAAGAGTAATAGTAATAGTAATAAATAATAATAGCAATAGTAATGGTAATAAAGAGTAACAGTAATAGTAATAAATAGTAATGGTAATAAAGAGTAACAGTAATAGTAATAAATAGTGATAGTAATAGTGATAGTAATAAATAGTAATAGTGATAGTAATAAATAGTAATGGTAATAAATAGTAATAGTAATAAATAGCAATAGTAATAGTGATAGTAATAAATAGTAACAGTAATAAATAGTAATAGTGATAGTAATAGCAATAGTAGGGATGTGTAAGGCAGTACTCAGAGAAGGGTAAGCAGAAAATTATTCCAAGCAGCATAAAGGTCTTCAGGTTTGAAAGAATTTGGTGCATTTGTAGACTGAAAGAGGGGCGCCTGGGTGGCTCAGTCAGTTGAGTGACTGACTCTTGGTTTCAGCTCAGGTCATGATCCCAGAGTTGTGGGATCAAGCCCCGCATCTGGCTCCGTGCCAAGCATAGAGCCTGTTTCAGATTCACTCTCTTCTCCCTCAGCCCCTCCCCGGCTCTCTCTCTCTACAATAAAACATACAGACTGAAAGACGTTGTACTCCCCACTATTTTAGGGTGGGAAGAGCTGGGGAGATGAGCACAAACAAGGAGGCAGGGGCCAGATCACGTAGGCCCTTCTAGGTCATACAAGGCATGTCAGGCTTGGTCGGGGAGGAAGTACAGAGACGTGTCTAAGAGAAGAAGCTATGCAGTAGACCTGGCTTTAATCAAACCTGAGCTCCACCTCTCCAGGCTTTAATCTTCCCCTCTGTAACGTGGGGATAATAATACGTACCTCATGAGGTCTAGTGGGAAGAGATGAGATGAGAGAGTGTTTGGTTAGATTCTTGTCACAAAGCCAAGGCTAAGAGTCTACTGACTACAGCCCATGGCCAAATCCTACCTGCCCTTTGCTTTGGGGTTAGTTGTAGTTTTAAACCATAAATCCTACTGTGGTTCCTACCTGATTCAAAAGCCAATACGTTCACAATCAATTACTACCACTAGAATAATGTGGCTCCCAGGTCTTATGTGGCCTGGCTCCTGGCTCTGTGGGACTTCGTCTCTTACCACCTGCTCCCTCTGTCCTGGTTTCATTGGCTTCTTTGCTGTTCCTCAGACACTTCAATCTCATCTCCCCCTCAGAGCATTTTGCACTGCTATCCCCTCAGCCTCCACTAGATCATCCCATGTCTCATCCCTTCCTGTCATTTAAGTCTCTGATCTCATTGACCACCTAGGAGGCCCATTGCCTGCCGTGTCCCTACCTTGCCCCCTTTTCTTCTATCATGGAATTGATCACTCCCTGAAATTATATACCTGTGTGTGTATTCCATTGCTCGGGCTGCCATAACAAAGTACCACAACCCCGGGAGGGTTAAAGAACAGAAATGTGTTGTCTCATGGATCTGGAGGCTGGAGGTCTGAGACCCAGACATGGGCAGAGTCGGTCTCCTCCAAGGCCTCTCCTTGGCTTCTAGACGGCTGTCTTCTCCCCGTGTCCTCAATCTGTGTATCTGTGTTCTCCTCTCCTCTTCTTGTGGGGACACCACCATATTGCCCTCCATATTGGATTAAGACCCTAGTGGCCTCATGTCTGTTTAATTATTGCTTTAAAGACTCTGTCTTCGGGGCGCCTGGGTGGCAGTTGGTTAAGTGTCCGATGACTCTTGGTTTTGGCTCAGGTTGTGATCTCACAGTTTCTGAGTTAGAGCCCCCTGCATCTGTGAATGTGGGAGCCTGCTTGGGATTCTCTGTCTCCTGTTCTCTCTGTCCCTCCCCCCTCACACTCTCTCTCAAAACAAACAAACAAAAAGAAAACTTAAAAAAATTCTATCTTCAAATATAGTCACATTTCAAGAAACTAGGGGGTCAGGACTCCAACACCTGGACTTTTGGAGGCACAATTCAGTCCACAGCAATACATTTGCCCTATTATTGTCTAATTCTCCTTCTGGGATGGAGCTCCAAGAGGACAAGGCCTTTGTTAGTCTTTTTTTTTTTTTTT